GAAGGTCAGAAGAGCAGTAGTTTTTCAAGTAGAACCACAGAGGGGATCTGATCACCTGGCTCTGAGCTTTGTAGGTAGCACCTCCCGAAAAAAGGTTGCTCTTTTGCTTTTACAAGATTTCTAGTAAGTGTTATATTTCCACGGGTTACATCTCATGCAAATAAAGACTATACTTGTCATTCTACTCAATTTTTCTCCTGTCACTCAATTTTTCTCCTGTCACTACGAAAGAGCCACATGATTTATCTATTACTCCAAGGCAGCAAGGAACCTTGTAGGCATTCAGAGTACATTAGTAACTTTGCCTAAGGGTCATCTCTGCGTACCTTTCAACATCATTTCTAAGAATTTGGTGATATCTCATAAGGGAGGGGAAGGCCTTAGGATCCATTTTTGTGCCAGTGCAATTAAGCAATTTACAGAAATCCCTAGCAGAGCAGAGGGCTCAGGAGCTTGTGAGGGCCAAATAAGGGAGGTGGACAGGCCATAGGTTCCTTTTACTGCCAAAACTAAGTAAAAATAACTTGGAGGAGAACCACTTAATGTATAGTAGAAGGCAGGCATGTCTTTACATGACAATGAGCCTGGAGATAAGGAACTAGCTGTATATGGTAGGGCATAATGTCTTCTATTATGAAAGAGGCTGCTCCCAAGGGGTTAGCTAGATCACAGTTCATACAGTGGGGGGAAGTAAATCGTGGGACCTTTTTGTTTCCAGTGCATTCTATACCTCACAGCTTTATTAATAGGCCTGTGCATGTGGATGAAGGATATGTTTGCTTAGCAAACATTTGTATTTCATCAAGTGAGCTTCCTCATGTGTGGTTTAGCTTTACCTCCAGAAGCTGTTGTTCGTGCCTGTAGGCATGTACTGGGTCATTCCAGGTACTCCACAGGCTAGTAGCTGTTCTATCACTGTCGGTAAGGTGTGAGTCACCTCTTTTATGCCGCCTCTAGACATATCTGTCAGTGAATCACCACTTGTATCTTATAGCAACAGCTAAGGCAGCATCTTCCTCTTGGACTCTTTAAAATCTTCAAAAGAATGAGATTTAAAATGTAAATGTCTCTAAATTGCTTGCAATTGCATGTCAGGAAAGTCTTTATATTTATAAGGAAAAACAAATAAAAGAATTGAACTTGATGCCTATAGATACTTGCCCTATTATTGTTCTAGTTGGGATTCATTACATTAATTTTTCTCCATGAGGCACAAACTAAAAGTATTCATGGACCACAACAAAAGGGTATTCAGCTGCTGTGTGCTTAAGCTAATAGTTTGTTTGTTTTGGTGGAACCAGGGATTGAACTCAGATCCTTGTGCTTGCCAAGCAAGCCCTTATTCTACTGAGCTATCTCCCTGGCCCCTTAAGCTAATATTGAGACCTGTTTAGTGAAAGAAAGGAGATGCTCTACCCAATAACTTCCTTTCATTGTCCTTGTACTCACTGGGAAAGTTAGGGATTGCACGGCCCCGTTCCAGGGACTTGCAGACGACACTTCACAGCATATAGCAGGACCCTGCGTGCAGGCAGAGTGTGCTGCTAAGGCTTTATTTTTGAGAGATCTACAACATTTTGATAGGAAGGCGGGGCCATCCTCCTGGCCTCTGCACATGTTTACTAGCCTGCATCACTAAGGTAGGTGTCAGAGTCACTGAGCTTGTGTGGTACAGATGGCTGGCTGGTTCTTCTTGGGCTCCCAAGAGATCACAGACACCATCACAAGAATAAAACGAAAATTTTAGAGTAAGAATTAGAAAACATGATGGCATTTAATGTGAAGTTTCCACATGAAATCAGGTTGCTGGTTTCCCAAAGTGGATTGGTTATGTGGCCAACTACACTTCTGAGAACTTGGGAGACACTCTCTGATCTCATCCAGTGCAATCTTTTCAGGCTTGTGCAATGAATTGACTAATAGAGGGCAGGCTTTGTCACTGCATTTTTTGCATACGCAAAGCAAGGAATGTGAGGAGAAAAGCACCACGTTTGGCTGGTAACATTCCTGAGTGAGTTTAACATACAGGGTAAGTTCCTATTGCTATTACGAGTCTAATCCAGAAAAAGTGCAGTATTAGAGAACTAAGGTTTCTGAAGGGACTTTTATTTTATTTTCTGCTCCCTGGATTTGGTTTGGACTATTAGACAGTGGGAAAGAGAAGCATTCATGGCAGATCCAGGCAGTGCCTCCCTTGGAAGCCTGCTCCCTTTGACCTAATACACTCTCTGGGTAAACAGCTGTGTGTGGTAGGAATGTCTGTCCTGAACTTTCTCAAGGTCTCAAACCAAATCATTGCTTTTTACTCCCTGAGCTTTTCTTATAAACAAAACCACCTGCTTTCTCACTTCTACGATGCCGGTCCTGGGTCACATTAGTGGAATCTACCCTTTACAGTAGAAAGACTGCTGCTTTGCTGTCATGGACCCTGGCACGTCTGAGTGATATAGTGAGATGCCATAACTTTGAGCTTTAAAAAGAAGGACCTGGTAGAATCACGTATTTTGTGCCTCTGCTGAGCACACTGTCTATCAGGGCTTACAAATGCAGGCATAATTAACTTGAACGTGCATGACAAAGTGATATGGTGGGAATTCATGTAAAGGTATTCAATATTGTTAGTCATTTAGGAAAATGCAATTACCACCTGAATACCACTGTTTCACCTTTGTACCTTAGAATGTCTAGAATGAAAGGTTGACCATTTCAAGTACTGTCAAGGGTGTGGAAGGTCATGTGCTCTCATGTATTCATGGCGGATATGTTAACTGACATAATCATTTTATAAAACTGTCCATTTCTTGAAGCCATTGTGCTCTTAAATATTTAATGAGAAGCAATGAATGAAGCATGCATCCGTGTACAAACTTATTCATAAACCACTCACATACCTTTTTTTGTATCAGCCTGAATCTGGGACCAATGAAAATGTCAAATTAAAGGATAAAAAAGTGGTGCTTACTTATGGGATATATCCACCTGATGGATTACCACTCCACAAGAGACGTGATCAAGGGTTCTATATGCAACAATGTCAATAAGTCTTAGAGTAATTATGTAGAGTAAAAGGAGTCAGACAGAAAGATGTAAAAGACTCCTAGGAATGGAGTTTGTCTTCAGTGGAAATAGAAAGAGAAGCATTTTCATTACTTCAGAAAGAGAACTGAGGTTTGTTAATAAGATGCTGGCAAGAGAGGGGCATAGACTCTGAGGTTGGCCCTGCTTAAGTGTCTTCATGTGAATCACCACTTATTGGGAGATAATGATTCCATGAAATCTGGTACAGAAGCATGTAAGAAATGATAAGCATGTTTTAACACCGAGCTTTGGATTACTCCATGACCTCTAAGAAGGAATATCCAGTAAGCTTTTTGTTGCTACTGTTGTTGTTGTTACATTTTATACTTCACTATTTAAGGAAAGAAACTTTCAATTTGGCTTTTAAATTAATATAAGAGATTTCTGATAAAATGTAGTAATAGAGAAAACAAAGGAGAAAGCAGCAATGACAAAAATTGTGATTCTTAGGGCTTGCCAGATAGCTCAGTGGATTTATTTCCTTTTTTTTTTTTTTTTTTTTTTTTTTGGCAGAACCAGGGATTGAACTCAGGTCCTTGCGCTTGCCAGGCAAGCGCTTACTATACTGAGCCATCTCCCAGGCCCTGAGCTCAGTGGATTAAAGCGCCTGCTTAGGCAGATGCAGGGACTGGGGTTGGGTCCCCAGTGTGCCGTGCAGGCCTTGCCCCTGGGACGTGCTGAGATGGTGATTGAGACTGGGCGTGGTGGTGCAAGCCTGTAAACCCAGTGCTTGGGAGGCTGAAAACAGGAGGATCACTATGAGTCTGATCTGTGTAATGAGATCCCATACTTGAAAAAAAAAAAAAAAAGGTGATTCTTAAAGCCACTGTAGGGAGGAGCACACTTGGTAGATATCTTGCCTATTTAATCTTACTGTCACTGTATTGTTGGACTTATTAGTAAGTTGATCTAGATTCCATAATTAAATCTCAGACATTGTTAATTGTGGTCAAGGGAGCAGGTTCTAGAGATTATGTTCATATCTCTGCCCTTAGCAGATACCTAACTTTCCAAGTATCTGTTTTCTTAGCTGTAAAGTAAGGACATCAATTCTCACATTTTTTAGTTATTGTACTGATCAAGGTGAAAAAGAAATGGGTCAAGAAGGGCTTAGCATTGCTTCTAACCCATATGAAGAGGCTCAGTGATATAATAATTCCTCATCTTCTTCCCCTTTTGCATTTTTCCTTTATCTTTTTCTTTATCCTTCTCTTCCTCATTATTATTATTTAGCCTCTACCATATAGCCATGAAGTGATTAGAGAAGAGCTTTCTCCTTCTGGTTAGTCATTAGAAAACAAGGATACTTTTTACTGGCTTTTATCAGAAGTAATTGAGCACAAGTCACCCTTATTTATTTGACCCATTCTCCTAAATTATGTGTTTGCATGTATTTCATCTATCATTCTGTTACATGTTATGAAAAAGACTTTGACTTAGTAGTGAAGACCACGGCTTAGTGATAGAGCAAAATAACTAGATGTTGTGTGACTTCGGTCCTACCTGTGCTCCAGTGTGTTTAGTTTAAATCCAGTCAATTAAATGTTTTGCACCTTAGTATCTTCAACCAAACAGAAATGAGTAATAACAACCATACAGAGCTATTAGAAATGTCTAAGTAGAAAGTATTCGCGTTTTAATACAAAGTTGAAAGAACTTTACAGAAAGCTAAGTGGGTTGCATAAGTTAGTGTATTTCTGTGGATGTGACATTAAGGCACTAAAAACTCAAAACCACATTGAAATTTGTTGATACAGCTACATTTAAAATATACTCACTTGACTTTCTATAAAGTGTGCTTCTCTCACACTTTATTCCATCTACTAGAAAATAGACCTCACTCGTCCAAATGCCTGGTCACATTAACTTCACCAGTGATGAATACTTTTCATTTCAGCAAAATTTTTCTTGTTACATTTCAGGTTTTGGGGATTTGACCCTCCATGACCAGGTCCACCTTCTGGAATGTGCCTGGCTAGAGATCCTCATGATTGGTCTCGTCTGGCGCTCCATGGAGCACCCCGGGAAGCTCCTGTTTGCTCCTAACTTGATCTTGGACAGGTGAGTATCTTGGCTGTGACTTGGGAGAAGGGTATCCTTTCTAATCACTGTATATCCTCAAGCTACTTTGTTGTATATTCCATGAAGCTTCAAAAAGTTGTATTAAGTGTGAGTGCTTTTGAAATGGGCAAATTCAGGTGATGGAACCAGGTCAAGTTCATCAAATGCTAAGCCTACCTGTCTCCTTTCAGAGGAGCTTTATGATTTCTAATACACACACGAAACTATAAATTATAATGCTCTAACTCTTCCTTCATCTTCTGTTATATAAAAATTGATGAATAGCCTCCCTTTAATTAAAACCTATGTGTCTGTGTATGTGCATGTGTACCCAAACCACAAGAGTCTTTTCACTTCCTTCTGCAGATTTCTCAACTGTAAAATGAAAAAGTTGGTCAGAGAGTTTTGAAGGCTACCTTGAATCCCATGGATTCACATGTGTTTTCAAATATGTTACCTATGTTACTTCTTTAATGGAGAAGGGTTGCCTTGATTTGTGGGTCCCACTGCTTTCCTTTAACAGTCATTGCTTGGTGCAATTGAATTCAGACACTTTACACCAGCAGTTACTACTGATGGAGTTGTCACCAGTACCAGCTTCGGTGCTAAGCACTTTGCAGTCGTCTGCCCATTTAATGGCCACAGCGCTGCAGAGAGCCAGGATCTTTATCTTCCTCATGTTATCCAGAAGGAAGCCAAGTATCAGACACATCCCACTACTTGTAAAAGGCAGAAACCTAGATGATGGTGGGGCTAGGATTTGAATTCAAGGCCTTTCTGCCTCTGGTACGCTCTATTGCTGCTCATCCCAGGCACTCCTGTCCTTTCTTTCCTGGTTTCTCATGCTACTTGTAGTTTCCAGCTGTAGTTTTCTATTCCCAGGAATAGTTCATCTTGCAGGGTGTATTTGATGGGAAAGACCCATCTTTCTGTTGCTTCTTGCAAACTCAGCCTCTGTGCATAGCAATCTGAAGCAGTCAGGCTGCCTGCCCACAGCACTCTTGTACAGTGTTGGGCTTTGCAGAGCTGCCCGCCTCCCTCCCAGGCCCACCTAGGAGGGGTTCCTTATACCTGCCAGCCCCCCTAGAGCAAGGTGATAGCCAACTCTATTTAAATGCAAAGGAATCGGGCATGGTATGCTTGTTGTTTTGTCATGTTAACTTAGTTTTTGAAGAACATCAATGACGCTACTTAAAAAGCAGGTTTTACTGGCTATGGAATGTATTCCAATATCACAATTTTGTGAACTTGAGAATGGCTACTAGTCTTGTTCCTTACACTTGTGCTCACGTTTTCACCTGGAAGTCTTTAGAAGTTATCTCTATCTCCTCAGTGTGTCTTAACTTGCCTTCTATTCTTTTCCTTATCATTTTGCCCCTTGTGTCTCATTTCCCCTTTCCCTTCTTCTTTCCTTCTTTCTGTACAGCTTGATCCTTTATTTAAGAAAAATTCTTCCCTCCTGGTAGTATGGTTCTTTTTTTAAATTTTTTATTGAGAAATAAATATGAATGAGACAGTTTTACAGCTGATTAATAGGACAGTTTGATAGTCAATACACTGTACATTGTTATCTTCTTAGAGGTTATCCATAGTACAAGAAGCAGACAGGATATTCTGTCCAAACACTGTTAGTACACCTCTTTCTTCTCATTGAATTAAGCGAAAGTATTTGTAAATTTATCCTATTTTGTATGTATAAATACAAAAAGTAGTATGGTTCTGTGGTCAGGTTGCACACAATTTGCAGATGAAATTCTTAGACCATGGATTGTGGATACAGACTACAGTTTATCTTCAGTGTCAGACATTTATTTTTGTCTCTACTCATATCCTTTTTCATAGGTTCACCATTGCTGTTAATAATCACAAAATTATTGCGTTTTTAACATGAAGGGCATCTGACACTACCTTGCAATGAACCCATATTACCAAGGGGGTGAGAGTACCTAGGATAATTTCAGCCACCTGCTTTCCTTCCTTTTCTGCAGATTTGCACTGTAGTTAATTTTCCTTTGCATCTCTTATAGAAATATGAGTAGCTAAATGTTATTATCTTTATTCTCATTTTTTAAAAATCCTTGTTAGAAGTTTCTACTACTTTCAGGATTTTTTGGCCTCTGCCTTGTTGATGTGCATGATCAGCCTTTTTATTGGGACTGTTCTGCATGTTTTAGGATGTTTAGCATTATCCCTGGACTATATTTGCCAGGTGTTGTTCCTTCTCTAAGTTAGGTCAGGCATTTCTGAATAATTCCTGTGTGGCCATGGGTGGGCAGAGGTCAAGTTGCTGCAAACCCAGTGAGAGTCACTTCTCTAGGCTTTCTTACTTTAGTGTCCTACAAGGCTTTCCGACGCATCAACCTCCAGACGTAATAAGTCTGTTCTTTTTCATTTTCTATCTTAGCAATACCAGTATTTGACTTGGAGCTAAAAGTGAATGATGTTTGAATAAATAATGGGTTTTACCTGCCCCCCACCAGACCATCCTGTGATCCGTTGAGTGTTTCTCTGAACTATTTCCAAGTCTAGACTCTCCCCTTGTCTCCATTCTGTAGCCCTAGTGTAGGTCCTGGTCTTCTCAACTCTGATTCCTCGCCTCCCTGACCCTGTATTTTCCTTAGTGCCACCCACCTTTCTCCACAGTGATCCAAGGGACTGTTTCTCAAGTAATAGCTCTACTCTTGATGCGTTTCCATTCTGCTTCCCCTGGTTTTCTTGGTTCTTTTGAAAGTATGGTGTAAGCTTCTCCCGACATTATGGCTGTTTATGATGAGTGTCACCAACGCAAGTATCTGCCAAGCAGGTCAGATTATGTAAATGAAGAAGGTTAGTGGGTGCGAGTCCAAAAGGGAGTGCTGGGGATCAGGTGATCTCATCCAGGCTAAAGATACCTGGCAGCTGAATCTGATCCAGAGTTTTGAATATGGCTTCGTATTCTAAAGTTTTTCTTTCACTGACTCTGAAGGGCCTCCACCTTTAGTTTCTTGTTAGAAACATATCCATTCTTTGGGCTCATTTCAGATGTGACTTTTCCATAAACCCTCCTTGCAGTCTCCTTCTCAGACAGGAAGTAGCCTTCGCTCTATCTAGCATCTTACTGCATTTGATTTGTACTTCCCTTGAAGTGGTAGACTCTACTCAGTGTTAGCTACGCTTCAGGACTGACCTTTCCCATCAGCTTCATGGTCCAGAGCCAAATCCTGTTTATCCCTGTACACTGTCCTACCGGGTCTGCCGTGATCCCCCGTAAGTGCTCGTCACATTGGTCAGGCTCACTCTGTCAGCTTGTGGCAGAGAGAGTCTGGGGAGAACCCACATACTCTTATGGTCATTTTAGCTATTACTGTCATCAAATTCACTCAGCTGGTGCTGGCTGCTACTTATAAGTTCCTGATTTATTCTTGTGTAGATTAAGAAGAAATTAATACACATCTGTTTTTGTAATACCCATTCTGATTTTGTAAATGCATTTGGCTCATATTTAGACTTCTGCTTATAGTGCACAAGACTGTCACCCAACTTTTAAATTGCAAATTACGTAAGCAAAGGAACTTAATTTTCCTAGATGAAGTAGAATTCTTAAGATTTTATTACATTTTAGCATACATAAGTACATATTGGTTATGATTACAGTATGTACATTTTAATATAAATAATATAAAATATTATGCAGAATATAAACATCTGGACTCTTCTAATCATTAACATGTACCTATAGATTATTAAATTTCAATTTTATTTAATTATCTTCTTACTGTTTGAGGATAAATGTTTTTAATAACACTGATAGATACATAAAAGTAAAAAGGATTGTGAACACCCTCCCATTTGAAATTTTATATATGTGGAAGATGGCTTTTTTTTTTTTTTTT